AGCGACCGCTCATAAAATGAACCCCAACTCTGAGTGCGCCTCCTCGGGGGGGGGGGAGAATTTACAACTCAACTGTCAGCGGCGCACGTGCGAAGAAAAAAAAGCCGATATTTTTTTACAACAGAAACGGACATTCTGGCCATTAAGAAAGAGTTCCCGTGTGATTGGTCAGACACACGCCTCCTCCCTGCTCCGGGAAATTCAATCCCGCGTATCGGGAGGATACACGTTCTTTGGAGGGAGGGGGGTACCGAGTTTGATGTTTACTAGGCCGCCGCTCGGTGAAGCGCTTGATGGCTGGAGACGGCCGGGAGTTAGTCGTATTCGACTTGATGGCTGGAAGACCGGCCGGGAGCGGTCGATTAACTTGATGGCTGGAGACGGCCAGGAATCAGTCGATTTGACTAGAGGGCTGGAGACGGGCCGGGAGTGGTCCGATTAGACTTTCGATGGTTGGAGACGGCCGGGAGAGTCGATTCGACTGTGTGGGCTGAAACGCCCACGGGAAAGTCACTCGATGTTTTGACTGCGGCCAACGGAGAAACCAATGATTTCAATCTCGGGATTCGCATAGTTTCGGTCACGATTATTCACTTCGATTGTTCTCAGTCAATCAAGTAGCATTCGAAAGCATATTGCGAGAGAGAAGTTTTTTGACTTCCATTCTCGCGCCGATGATCAACCGTGGCTGGCCTGAGGTTGGAGACGCCGGGGATTGGAGTAAGTGAGCCCGCGGGTAAGCGCGGCGACATTCAAACGGCCACGCGGGGCTCCCTTGTGTTCACCGCCTCTGCCTGGAAGGGGGGCGGCCCCGAACAGAGACGACGGGCGACTACACCACGGGGCGTAGCAAAGAGGCCCGCCAACAGAACGAGGTAAATAAATCCGCTTTGGCTCCCGCATAAATGCGGTCGAAACATTTACTGAGCGAAAAGCGAGGGGGTGGAAAGGGTGGCCTTTCAGAAGCAAAGTGATATGAAGACCCATTGTTTGTTTTATTGCGTATTAATTTAAGTAGATGACCATGTCATAATGAAAAAAAGGGTCGTTTATATTTTTATTAAAATTTGTAAATCATTGTAATTCATCATCACCATCATCAATTTTTTATAAAGTAAAATATTTGTTAACCGCAAAAAAAAAAAAAAAATTGTTTTTTTTTTGACCATTTATCTATTGAAATTCCCAATTCCCGTTTTCAGACATAACAGACAAGAGACACGTGTGGGTTACAATATATATATATATATATAATATTATATAACTATTATAATATATATACACACACACATACACACACATACACACACTCTGGATACCAACAAGGACACCTGAAACGTCAAATTTTTTCAGCCAACTTGCCTTCAAAAACCGTTACAATTTCGTACATTTCTTTTTAAATACAATTAAAATAATGTGCATTAATGTATGAACGAATGCTATTATAAACAAATTCGTAGATATGGCAGTTAAATATTACTCACTTGTAGCTTGTCTTTTCACATTGTGTACATTCGAATAAATGTGTTAACTTGCGGGAAAAACTACAAAAATTACAGTGGTTTGTACCAATCCTATCAAATAAAAATAACTAGTTTTAAGCGCACACAGTTATGTTAATTTTAATATATTACAAGTTAAAAATACATTGTGTTCATATAACGCGTTATTTATCATTTACATTTTACACAAATATCAGTTACGCATCTAAAGTTTACCTGCTTGCTAATCAGACTGCAATTTGTAATAATTATATTTGGTTAAAATTTTCAATAGTTTAACTTTTTTAGTTACGTGTGCTGCGGTGCTCAGTCAAAGAGGAATAATTTACTATGAATAAGAACAAGATTATCAAATTTTTCGTTACCAGAGTCCTCCAATAAGAAATGTTTTGAAAAAAATTCACTCAGATTATAATACTTTTTTAAGTAAGGGCGTTTAATTGAAGGCCTTGCACCACGGTCAAATCATGCCGCCACGTGGGCGACAGTGGCGCTTCCGATTGATGCGGGTATCGTTAGATCTCCCGGCCGTGATGGTTATGTGTGGGTGTTCTTGGCTCTATCCTCTTACTCTTGTGTAGGTACATTGATCAGTCAATAGTTTGTAGCAAAATTGTGAGAAATTAATGTTTTTTTTTTGGTTAATATTAGGGAAAATATTCTGATTAATTGCTTTAAAATCTTATTTTGTAGGATAGTTATAATACTCAATGCCGAAGAAGTTTGTGGGAGAAAATAGTAAGGCAGTTGCTGCCAGAGCACGAAAGGCCGAGGCTAATGAGAAAGACGCGGCGAAACGTCAACAACAGCTTGAGGAAGAGTATTGGAAAGATGACGATAAACATATTGCCAAAAAGCAACAGAGGAAGGTAGTATTTTTTTAACCATAAAAAGGTGTTTTCTCAATTAACTACATTCTTAACTGGGCATTTACTGAATATTTTCATGTAGGAGGAACAAGAGCGAAGAAAACAACAGCAACTGGAAAAGAAGGCAGAATCGAAAGCACTTTATGAGCAAGAAATGAAATCTATTCAACCAGCTGTTAAACAGCAACAATCAAAGATCACTCGATCTCAGATACAGGTATAAAATGGTACAGATGTATGACATGATATGTTTAACATAAAATAGCTGTGTGGTAAACATGGTGTTGTTGATGTAGGCTGAAGCAGAAAAACGTAATAAAGCTGCAGTTGCAACTTCCAAAAAACCAGATATAACTCATATACAAGAGCCATTAGAAGAAAATATCAACCGAGTGGTTGTTGATGGACTGGAGGCTCGTAGTGTGACTGAAGCGATTGCAGTTTTGAGGTATGATGATATTTCTGTTTTATTGAAGTTCCTGGATTTGGGGATTTCATGGATTTTCTTCATTGATAAAGGTTGGCATGTGCTCTTTAAAACAAGAGGGAGGGCCAACTACTTTCTGGGTTCCCTTTTCTAATTAGCTATTTTATTCAATTTGTATTGTATAGCATTTTATATGCATAAAATGTAGTGTATAATTTATTTGTTTTTCATAGCTTATTTTTCTAATAAATAAACAAAAGATATTACAAGTAGGACAAAATTATAAATTAAATGATACAATTAATTAATATATTTGATTTAAACGAATCATTTACAGAATTGCACGATGGTTTGGAGAGCTCATAAAAAAGGAAAAATATCAGGAATGGAGCTTATTTATTGAAATACTGTTTTATTAGGTAGGGTCTTTGGGAGCCATTTCAAAATTTTCTGGGGGACCATGCATATGTTCATGTTTTTTAAGCCTGCTAAGGTCACGTGAAATTACTTTATATGATTCCTTTATTTGTTTCCCTTCAAGTATGTTTTTTTTGCTCCAGTAGTTTGTTTGGTCTTTGTGTTTGTTCTTTCTTACAATCTTCCCAATTGACCTGAAAGTCCCACTGTAAATTCATTTGTTCTCTTTAACTTTGGTTGAATGAGGTAATTTTTTTTTATTCTTGTTAAGAATGTTTTTCTATTTGATGTTCGTTCCTTATCTATTATTTTAATATAATTATTATATTTCTTGGTCATAAATAATTCAGAGTTCACGTGACTGATTGTAAATTAATAGTGATTTTGGTGCCCTTCCTCAATCAACGAAGTATTCTGTGCTTAATAATGTATACTGTTTATAATATGCTTCCACAGAGACAGGGTTTGGCCTGTATTTTTAATTTCCATAAAATGCCTTTGAATTTTCAAAAGTAGAGATGGGAGCAATATGTTGTTTAAAACAAAAGAAAAAGCGTATTGGTTTTAACATAATGCTCTTATCCATTGTTTTATCCAAGAAGTGCTTTTCCGTTGTTGTTGTTTTTTTTTTGTGACGTCATGGTGAAAATTTAAAATAAAACGAAATTTTTATAAGAATTTTTTAAAAATTTCTTTTGTCAGAAAATTTAATCACAAAATTATACATTTTCTAATTTTTCAACAAAACAATTATTTTTAATATCTGGAACTTAGTATATTAAAAAATGTATAACAAATCTAAAATAATCCTTTTTTTAAAATTATATGATGATTTAAAGTATAGTATTGATTCTGATATAATTTTTAATTATTTATTTCTTTATATACTACATGTATTAAACTATTTTAGTTGATTGGGGTGGGGGTTGACATAAATTTAAAATGTCACACTAGGAGGGTTGAAGTTATCTGTAAAAAAGGTGGGAGGGTTTAAAAAAAGGCCCAATAAAATGTGATGTAGTTTATGGATGGCTCCTAGAGAGGAAAGTATGTATTGAAATGAAATGGACCCTGAAAAGACATAAAATTGTATTCGTCGATTGTACCAACAGCATTGTGTATACTTGTAATGAGATTCCTGTAGCTAGTTGTTCATGAATAATTATACCTTCAATAACCAATGTCAATTTTACTTTTTTTCATAGTACATATGTAATTTTTGCTTGAAGTTCATGCATTTTATGGAAAACTTTTCTCAAAAATGGCCATCCAACATTTTCCTTGAATAGAGCAAAGGTCACTTATAAGAAACGTCTCGTATTTGTTGAATTCTCTGAATTTACGAAAATTTCCAAGTTACAGATACTGCCAAAAAGTATGAGCTGGTGTGGAACCTCTAGTTTTCTAACTACATTAGTGTTCTAGTAAATTTAGAACACAAACATAGTCAGTTTTTATGTTCAATTATGAATTCATAAATTCTGATGTTATATTGATGTTTAAAACTATATAGTAAAAAGTGTTTTGAGGTATCGAAAAATCACATGAAACTAGAATTTGCATGATAAGTTTGCAGCAATTCCAGTATATCAAATGTCATATATATTATCGCTGTTTTATATTTTGTTTTGTTTGTTTTTAGTGTGAAAGGTGAAGAAGTAGATCGACATCCAGAGAAAAGATTGAAAGCAGCTTATACTGCATTTGAAGAAGCAAACATGCCGAGGATTAAGGCTGAGAACCCAAATCTGAGATTGTCACAGATGAAACAGTTACTTAGGAAAGAATGGATGAGATCGCCAGAAAACCCATTGAATCAAAAACTCTCTTTATCAAAGCAATGAAGGGTTCTATTAATGTGTAATTTTTCAAATTACATATTCTGGTTTCAAGGTTGTATCAATTTAATAACATCTTTTCGTTTCCATCAGGCAGAACATTAGTTTCAAAATAAAATAATTGTATCATGCAATATAATGGACTTTGTTATCAGTGATGCAAATTTGTAAATTTTGTACAGTTAAAGTTCATGTTAAACATTTGATGTATTCAAAAATGTATCAAATATGACCATATACATTTATGAAAAAATCCAATTTGTTTTATATGATATGTTTAACTTTTTTTAAGGTTTATTTGATCCCTTGTTTTCAACAGGTATTTATAACAATTGTAATTTTTTGGAATAATATTACTTCCTTTCTGAGAATTTGTGGGAAAATATAATACATTTGTGATGACTAGAGCTGGGAAGTTTACAGGAGCTTTTAGCCCTGAAATACACATGCAAATATTCCACAAGAATTCGGATATGCACAGAAATTAAGATATACAGGGTTTTTTTACAATTATGTTTTTAAAAATTATTTAATTTATTTATTTATTATTTTGCCAATTAAAGAAACGGAATAGACAAATTAAAAACACATTTGTACTTGCTTCTACATATTTTATTTTGCATTAAGAGTACTAGAAAATCACTAGAATTTTATCCAAGTTATCTGTTGTTTGGGAGTGTCTCCTACCAAGTAATATCATTTTGTATAGAAAATATTACCACATAACATGGTGTTAGGGGTGTGAACTTATATTTTGAAACAGTTGTGCTCATTCGATTATCTGGATGAGCAACACTGTTGCCTTCCAAGAGTTATCCCACTGTCTGTAATGTATGAAGTCCTAGATTCTTTCCAAGAACTTTATTTGTTTTCTTCATAATTGCTTCAAAGTGGTGCTGTAGAATGGCACAAACTGTCTCTTACTAGTTAGTTTCGTAATTTTTCCATCAGGGCTATCTTTTCAGTTTTGCCCCACTGTCATCTCAGCTGTCGTCTATTGACTAAAATATATTTTTTGGGGGTTTTGGATCCCTAATTGCAGAATTGTAATAAGACTTAAGGAGTATTGTAGAGGGTAAAATTTGGTCCTGTATGCACATTTTCATTTGCAAGGCAGCGTTTATGAAAATGCATTTGAGCATTTCTGCAAATGCACAATTTGAAACTCATTTTCACCTAAACATTTGATTTTTCGAGGTACCTAATGAGAAATTACTTGATGTAATTCTACTCACAAGATTGATAATTTATAAGATATCCATAAGGTAATGTTGAAAACATGAGAGAAGCTTTTTTAAAAAAATAATATCATCTAAGTGGCATTCATCGTCTTGTATATTAGTTTAGTAGCATACATACCGTTTGCGGCTCTCACACGCAACTAGTCTTTATAAATTAGATCTCAAAAAAGAGAATTACACTGAAACATGATGAATTGCACTTTGACTTTAAAAATATGAAGAATTTGTTTAAAAAACTCATCATTCATGTCGAATGGAACCCGCAGCACTCGGTCAGCTACATCATTAAATAACTCCTAAACAAAGAGTTCTAGGACCTTAAAAACGAAAATTTGGAGGACAAAGGCCTCAAAGAAATGTTCCTCATACTGTAATATTCTTGGACATTCTGTTCAATTTTTGTTGGTTTGGCACTTACTGATACTACCAATGCCACCTGTATTTCCATCCTTGGTGTTGGTGGCCATCTTTGTGACATCATGTTTTAGATGCTTAGATTCCTCTATCTTATACTATTTGAACAATATGTACACTGTTGTTTGCCCAGACTGATTAGGTGTATTTGCATAATTATTAATTCAAGATTTGCTCTCTTTGCAGCAACAACTTGAAGTACTATGATTAGTTGCTTGATACCGATGAATATTGTTTCATGAGTGTAGTGAAAGCATTCATTTAACATTTTGCTGAGGTTAACAGCTGCTGTGTACCTAATTGTGGAGGGATGTGGATGTACAGTCAAGACGTGGTCTTATTAGGTTTGGTTTGTGTTTTGCCTGTACCAGTATTTTCGTTATCATCAGTGATTTGTTGAAACTCAAGTCAGCGTGTTCATCCACATAGCTTTCTCAAGAGTAAAGTAAAAAACTGTTTAAATATTTTTGTGACAGTCACGTAAATCGAAAAGCTAACTGTCAAAGAATATTGAATAATTACTTCAAATATTTTTTAGGGAGTGTTGTGAATTGTTCCAACAAATCTCTCGATTATACTGATTCCACATCAGTTGCATTGTTTTTTTATTTTTATTTGCTATTGTGTTAGTACAATGGAAGATACCTTTATACGTCTTTAAACTAATAATTATGTTTCGTTACGAACTTTCCCTCTTAGAATGGAAATAGAAGGATAGGGAAGAGTGTGTGGTTTAACATGCTAGAGTTCTTGCATGTTGAACGGAGGTAGTAGGGAAGAACTTGTGCTATGGCACAACACAGAACAAAATTTTTGAATTAACTAAAGTAAAGTAGCTGGAAATAATGAACAAGAAATATAAAAATTCACTAGCCTACAATACTATACGTGAATTAATTTTAAAAAAAGCAACCAAATTTAAAATTATAGAAAGAATAGTTCAAGTCATTCGACAACTGTCAAAGATCACAATCTAGATGCATGATTAAAATGTTGGCGGGATCTGGAAGTCTTTACGTCAATGCCCAGCTGTAAACTCTTATTGTAAATAATAGATTGTTTAATATCAAACTTAAGGCGTCAGATTGCTATGATATTCGGTATGTAAACATCGTTTGAGCAACATTCCTTTGTACCGAAGTGAAGTCTTAAGACTGCTGAATTGTTTCTAATAGCAACAAATGGTATTTTTTACTCAAAGGTGAAAACATTAGTTTTATTATTTTCTGGCTCAGAATTGCTTTTCTTCAGGTATGTAAGGATGCAGAAAATAATTCAATATTTTTTAGTATACAAATAATGTTTCAATTTTTGCTCCCCAGGATGCTGGTGCCCAGCCCCTTCAAATCCCCCTCTATTCCTCATAAGAAATCATGGAAAGTTAAATAATATTTCAAAGAGTAGAGTTGTATGTACCTGATCTGGTATTTTTGCATGGAAGACTTTACTTGGCTTCCTCAAAAATGAAAAGTTTTTCTAATATTTTAGTGGCTATCAAGGAAAGCTAAATGCTAACTGTTTAGAAAGATGGAATAATTATTCCATTGTTCAAATGTTTTTAAGAAAGTGTAAATTGTTCGAAGTATATATCTATAATACTAAATAAACCTTTATTGAATATTTGTTTCCAACGTCAATTGCATTGTTTTTTATTTTTGTTTGATATTGTTTAAGTACAAAGTTACATTTATACATTTTTAAAATAATAAACAAGTTTCTTTAACAACTCTAATGGAAAGGAATACGAATATGAAGGAAGCAAATGGATACGAAAAGAGTGGGGATTAACATGCGAGAGTTTTCGCACGGGTAGGCTAGTACTAATTACTCTGTTCATATGCATTTACACAAGAGAATACTATTACTACAGAATAGCACAGCCTTTCTCGTACTAGTTTTCTAATTTCTTTGCTTTGGACTACCTTTTCAGTTTTGCCTCATCTCACCCTTTTCCCAGCTGCCGTCTATCGCCACCCAAACTACATTTTTTCACATTTGCTCAATTTCTCAGTTACCTGATTGTAAAATTGATTCAAATGATAGATATGACTTTGGGAATGTAGAAATTATATTATAGAAGAGTAAAAACGTCAGACAGGAAAATTTCTCTCCAAAAAAAGTTTGATATGTTTTTAAGAAAATTTTTAAGCAATTCTGTAAACACAAAATTTGAAGTTTTTTCACAAAAAACTGTTGAGTTTTGTAGGAGCTGGAAATCGTTCGAAGTACTTTGACTCACAAAAGCAATAATGTGTACAAATCGGCGGTGATATTGTAACCCATACCGTGTGTGGCTTCTGGAGCGGGAATGAAGTTTTTCAATAATAGTCATTGAACTTCGACAAACAAATATTTAATATCTAAAATTATTATTAATTATGGATTATTTACATGATATTTTACGATTATGGCCAGTGCGACCTTTTCTATTTAAATTTAACTTGTTTGATTGACTCGATATTAACTTTAATTCAATTAATAGGCCGCCATGAATATGAATGAGTGCTGATGGCATCTTCTCTCCAGCTTCGCTCAATAACTGTTCATCTGCATTGCAGCGGGAGCAAAGCGAATGATTACCCGTTGTTGCTTTGTTGTTGTCGGCGGGCATCACAGCACGCCCAGTGGTCGGGTTGTTGACCGGCGTCAAGGGCGGGCCGCCCCCAGACAGCTGCAGATTACCACGGCTGCACTTCAATGTAGCCACCCCCTTAGGCCGGACCCGTAGATGACGTCATCAACCTCCAGACGGCTACAGTTCGCATGGGCAATGACGGATCGGAAGACATCCGTCTTCCGTATCAGGTAATCGCGGACGATCGACTATCGTAGGCGGGATATGTCGGACTATGGCACGTGCCCGCGTGCTACTGTGCACCGATACTTGGTAAATGCAGTTCACGGCCAGCGAGAACGCTTCCCATTTCGGTAAATGTCTTTTATCGCGCGAATCTCATGTGACGAATTATTGAGGGCTGATTTCCCTCTAAAAAAAATTCTACAACGAGCTTCTGAGAGGCTGGACTCCCTCTTCAGAATTTCTCGAGTAAGTCCCGGAGGGCTCGATTTCCCAACCGCAAGACTTCTCAAGTCAGTCCGCGGGTTCGACCTCCCTCTGCAAATTTCTTAGAGTAAGTCCGTGTGAGAGTTCTCCCGAATCATGAAGGCTCGGTACCCCCCCTCTCTTCCAGTGAGAATCCTCCCGATACGCGAGATTGAATTTCGTGGAACACTGTGAGGCGGGACTTCGACCAATGACGCAAAATCCTTCCTAACAGCCAAAAATGTTCCTTTGCTGCCGCGGTCGAGCTTTTTAGTCGCGACCGGCGAAAAAATCGGCGTGAGCTATTTCGAACCCGCACGTGCGCCGAAATCCATTTGGTCGTATATCTGTCTCCCCAAGTGGGTGTAATTGACGGGTCTCTTTGAGCGCCTTCCCACGTCGCGACGGCAGCACGCTTCCGTCAAGACTCTCGCTGCGCAAAGCGGAGGAGGGGGTACGCGCCACCGCTATTCTAGCAGAATACAGCTTTAAATGGTAGCCTTCCCACTCTCCTAGAGATATGCTACAATAGGCGAGACGCCAATACTTGCATGAAAATTGCGGTAAACAACGCCAAAAGCGCGCCGAACGGCTATTGTCTTTCCTGACCATGTTCTTTTTCTCTTTTTACAGATCAGCCATAGATGTCCGAAAGGATAGGGATGGCTACGCAGCAGGGAAGTGTGGTTGCATTGCACTCGGAATTGCGCTGCATAGCGCGAGGCCTTCCCACTCCGGCCGCCAGTCGCTGCGTTTTACCTGCTGCGGTCCCTTTGTTCGTCGTCACCGGAGGGTCGGCGAGGAGCCCTGCTGATTGACGTGCGCGCGCTGCCGTGGCGGCGTGGGAAGGCGCCCTGTGACGAACGTTGGCGTGGATGGGGAAAGGCACCCTCTCGAGAGCTCGGCGGGACCCGGTTGCCGACAAAGGGCTCCCTCCTACGCGGGGTGTCTTGTCATGAAATGGCCCCTCGCCTCTGGAGCAGCCGAAGGGACGCGGGAACCTACAACTTCACTCTGCAGCTGTGGCATCGCTGCGCGTCCCCGATGTTATTTATAGAAATTCTACGCCGAATTCGCGGCAGCTCGTTCCGTTACAATATAAATACTAACAGCACTAGAGATATTTAAACGACAATTAGGTATGTAATTTTTGAAAAAGTAAGAATACATTAAACTTACATTTACATCATTCCATTTAGTCAATTTAGCACTACCCCTTATTAAAGAAAATATTTGGAGTCGTTTTTGGGATAATGGTGGTTGAGCGTTTCTGAAAAAGTGGAATTTTAAACTAATTTTCACTTAAAAGTTATAAGTTTTAATACAACACAGTTATGAAAACAAATTGCCGGTACTGACGTGAGAGAGTCAAAAAAAGTATTTTATTTAATTTTTCAAAAAAAAAATAGGAATTCAGCCATTTGGTGTTAATGTCATCTGTTACACTACATTTGGTCCCATCCCTACTCAATTTACATAAAAAAATTTGGAGGCTGTTTTGAGAAATTCTTGTTTATATTTTTCTATTGTGTGGAAAGTACTAAAATTTTCAAAAATAAAAAAGTTCATGACAATGAAATAATTATGCAGAACAGATTACAATTGAAGAAAA